TTAACAACAACCTGGTTGAGTGTGCAACCTCCTCTGCCATGCAGATCATTTTCAATCGTCGAAATGGGCAGAGTTCTTGAATGAAGAAAGGCGAACATAAACGAAGCTTCATGAAGTGGGAAGGTAATCGTTACTCAGGTACAGGTTTCTAGCATATAGGTGGATGAAGGCGGCAATCTAAGGGTTCCAAGGTTTGAAAGGCGAAAAGTGTAAAAATTGGTTGTGATATTTAGAATATGCCGTGAGAACCAACACGTGATTTCATGAAAAAAATGGAGCGTCTTTTTCGCGGAAGTGACAGTATCTCATCTGCAACGTTAAGCAAGCTTTGTTTATCTACACAACCAGCTGCTTCAGTTGCAACCTTGGATTAGACGTCAGGGAGACACTAACCGAAGTCCGAACGGTTGCTGGAGATAGGCACGACACCATCAGTCATGTACAATCAACTCGAATGGTTTTGAAAATTGTTGCGCAGCGCTTATTATAACCCTCATGATGGACCGAACTTGATCAGAAACGATAGTTCTGCAAATTGAATCAGTGGAAGTAACAGTGTTTATAGATTTTTCACCATTTATGAAACCCCAAATAGCAACTATTCTCACATGAAGAAATTTCTGAAGATCTAATATATACTTACAGTATTATGCTATATATTTCAGTTTCGTTCATCAACATTTGAATAGGATTATAGTTGTCCATTCAGTTGTCTGTGTGATATGCTGTAGTCCAACGATGATAGATTAACTAGTAATTGGAAGATCGCTGATAATAAAAGTGAGGATTGGCCAAGAAATGGCCGCCTGCAACATTATGCTCTACTCACCGTAGTGTGCCTATTGCAGTAAAATACTTAACAGTTTCTTTCATTCATCCGTTTAGCAAATGAACTGTAGGGTGCTCTACTTTAGCATGCTTTTCCATCCTGTACTACTTTTTATGCACTGCGGGACTGTATCACAGAGTAGCAGAATAACTTGTTTTAGTTTATCATTTGCTCTAATACTATATACTGTACTCCCTCCAGTACTGCTGTATAACAGTATATTGTGTTACAGTGTGATATATTTGTCCTTTGTTTAAAGTACTATTCTAAAGAAATGTTCCTAAACGTACACGTATGTACATTGCGTTGCATACGTACACGTATTTCTGCAATCCACGAATAGTGAACAAACGCGCAGATACACTCCGAATCGTTCGGCAAGATCATGTCACACCATAAAAGTATTTCACATTACGAGTTGCTCCTTCAAGACCATATTTCACAGTGCATTGACAGTCTGTTTACTCCTAATTGGAAGTTCTTGGAAGTCCTGGTCCTGGAGGAGTAACTGGCTGTTTGATATACTCGGTCTTACGGACAACTTATGATTTTTATGCGATAGAATATACGAACTGTCGGCTCTAGAAACATCGTTCGTGTTGAACGCATTGTGGCGCTAATGGACAAATTGATGTGAGGTACATCTGGCCGTGTAGGTTCTCAAGTTTCACGGAGCTGTAGGATGCTTAAATTCTCACCCCCCCGAAGCAGGTTGGAATAAGGGGCGGTGCAGTGCGTCGTTACGTTTGGTCTTGTATGTGTGATTCGTTATTTAACATATCAGGTGTATGAACAGCTTATTAATCTTAGAATGTTGCTCACAACAGATTTCGTAGAGCTCTTAGAGTGGGACTGCAATAAATGAATCCAACCTAAATTACCTTCAGCCTATTCTGCTATATTCCTATCCCGTGATATTCTGTTGCTCTGTCACCAGAAGAAAGGATGAATTCAAGAGCTTTATGCGATCAGTGTCAAAGGAACACATATATATAAGGAGAAAGACTCCAGTCGGGTTCAATAACTGCATGACTCGACAAGCTGTTGAAGCTTACAGGCTTATTCTTGAATAGCCTTGAAGGTGCGTATATTTTGAGCTGGGGCTCTCTCCTCCGCAGTGAATAATAAATGAGTTAGAGTCGCATCGAACACTTTTGGAAGATTGAAAATGTTCCTACCTGGTAAAAAACTTTTTTGTTTGTAAGTGAAAATCGTTCAAATACTAACGAATGGATGCGAAACGTGGACTCTCCGTGTGAAAGTTGTTAAGAAGCTGAATCTGTAAAACGGAGAGTGAAAAGGTTTACGTTGAACGTAATAAAATGCAATGAGGAAACAAACAGGTAAGTAAACTGACGACATCCTTTTAAGCGTACTAATAATTTGATTAGTAGCCAAGCATGTTTATGAGTAATATACCACCTATCGGTTCATTATATTGGTAGTCCTCTTACTGTGTCTCCATACTGTGATTCCGTACTTTTGTAGCAAAAGATTTTGAAACTATCATGATTAGATTTTGATGATGTTCAGATCATTCGATTGGACGGCGTTTCATTTTACTGGAACAGCAGGACGTCTTTAATATCGCACCTGGAAGATAAGTCAGAGATTAGGGTAAATGCGATTTTATTTGTCGCAGTTTTTCTTCAGATTGAGCGCTAATTTTCTCATATTTATAGGAGGCGTTAGAGAAAGGCATCGCCAAGTCTGACTATCTGCCAGCTGATTATTGTTACAGTAAAATTTATTTTATGCTTGCCTCCATACAGTTTTAACTTTATACACTTAGTCGTTAATCCGATTTCGCTCGACGTGAAACTTGTGCTTAACCCAAAGCCAGAAAACGATGAACCGAAATTTAGTATTCCGAAAGCGGATATGATTTTAAAGATGACCACCGTGTGCATCAGTGTGCAGAAGTACCAGGTTAGTTACTCATGCTCTTATTTCTTGTCGTGCTAAGGTCGACTCGTTTTAGTATCAAGACGTGCTTGAATTTCTTGAAGCTCAGGAAAGATTCGCTCTGAACGCCAAGTACAGAAAGTATCGACCGGACGTTGCAGCTTACGCAGGAAATTCGAAGACTTGGTACGGCATCTTGTAATCTACTTATAATCACTACTGCTTGTACTCATCTATTTTTCCATTTTGCTCCCTCTATTCCCCCTCAAGTGTGTTTCACTCTTTTAGTATATCCTCAGAGTACACTTCATAATCGTACGTATGCTGCTGTTTTATGGTTAAGATCTAATATACAGTTTTTTTTCTGTACGTTTTGTCTTTGATCTTGTCAGAATACCTGTGCTGTGGAATATTTTTCTAGATGTTTGGCGAATAGTTTTGAAATCCGTTACTGATCATTCGATCAGCAAATCAAATTAAGTTTTACCAGCACCTAGCAATAGGGTCTTAGACAAAATACATTTTGAGCAGCACTTTGCGCAGCACAGATTTTTGAGAAAACAGAGTATTTTACAGAAGTGGATTGATACTTGAATGATTCCTAAACAAAGGAAAAGGGGTAAATGTTTAACACGGATTCTAACATGTAAAATTTCATGACAATCATCTTCATCCTCCATCGCCGCTTCTCTTTTTCGGGTCGCGGAGGCAGACGCGTCAGACAGTGCTTCCAACGTTCCCGATCCTGTGCCAGAGTCTGAGCTACGGCAAAAGACAAATGCACTCTGGAACAGATTCCTTCTATATATTTCCACCAGGTTAATCTTGGCCGTCCCCTGGGCCTTTTGCCGGTCAGATTTGCAAAGAACAGTTGCTTAGCTTTCCATTCTGCAGGCATTCGCAACACATGCCCAAGCCATCGCATCTGTGACTTCTCAGTCTGGAGAAGCAAAGGCTGTATTCCAAGGCTCTTCCGGATGTCACTATTCCGGACC